AGGTTAATAAGTTAACAAAAGAAGGAGGCACTTTAATTTCTGTAGAGTAGCATAATTGAAAATTCTATAAAAAATTGAAAAAAAAAAATTTTTGTATTGGTTAAATATATGGTTGTTTTTAGTATTTTTTTCTATAAAAAAAAATATTAATACATTCGACCATTGTTTGTTACAAATTGTTTATTAAATAAACAAATAAATTTGGAGCGAAAAAAAATTTTTTTTACTTTGTAGAAAATTGCAAATGATAAATTTAGAAAAAAAAATCTTTTGTTAATCTATTATTTAAATAACGAAAAAAAGTTAAAAAATGATTATTAACAATAAAAAAAATTTTTTAAGAAAAACATTTTTTTTAAATCATATCATTCCACTAATAATTTGGCAAAAAAAAATTTCTAAAATATGCAACTAATCCATTTGTTTATATATTTTTTTTAACAAATGCCACTAAAAATTTAAAAATTATAAAATCTAACAGTGTTTTGATATACAAAAACAGTGATAATAACAAATATTGATAAAAAAAATTTTTCACCTTTTTTTTATCGTTTATTAGTTTTTTGTTAATGTAAAAGATTAATAACTAATGAACTATAACAATTAAAAATATCGTGATGTGATTATTTCATAAAGTATACTTGTCACAATGTATCCAGCATCGGTTATAATTTTCACGTCTTTAGTTTAACAATTATCTGATTATAAACATAAACGTGAACTTCAAAAAATTTATTAATTATTATCAATAAGCATTTTATGAAAAGTGGATGAAAGCATTTTTTTTTAAGTGGATATCGTTCCTTGGGATATCTAGATGATCCGATAATTTTTTGAAATTTTTGAATTATTATTCAATAGCTAAAAAAAAAATTTTTTTGTTGCTACGGTCGGATTCTGAGGTCTGCGGCAGCGTCGCGCTCTCCGCGCGGAGCACTATTTTCACCATTAAATCAAATTTATTAATAATGGAGGTACAGTTCCGGGAGTTAGGACATTTTTTATTGGACATTTCGTCCTCTTTAAGAATCTTTTTTTTTTAATTTCTTAATTATTAATAGTTTCTGAATTATTTGCGAAAAACTAAATGACTTTTTTTTTATCTTAATTTGTTAATAGCTTTTGCAATTTTCTATGTGTTGGCAAACAATTTTTATACATTTTTCTAGACGTCATTCCGAATCCAATGAGCTATCGCCCATATTCTTACGACCTTTATCACTAATTGACACCGTTTTTAATTTATGAACTAGACTATAAATAATTACGTATAAATAAAATATACATCCTGTATACATTAACAAACCTAGCAGAAAAATCACGTCCATATAAACCACTCTGTATAACAAAAAATTATAATGATCGGAAAGAAAAGCAATAAAGCACACTTATTAATAACACAGGCAACTTAATTTTAAATACAGCGCCAGCGTGTGTCAGAAATCATGGAGTCCCCCCTAGTAGATGGCTTTATTTCCCCACCATATTGAAATAAAGATGGCGACGTACAGTTTAAAAAAATTATGCATCTCCAGAACCATATTTTTTTCCGAGGAAAGATGATAAAATTGTGTATGTCTTGTGTTATATACTTTTTTCATAAATTTTAAAATTTTGGAGATAATGCAATTTTTTACCTTAGATCATAAAGTACCCAGCGGTAAAGCTGTTACTGATGGTCCAGTAAAAAATTTATTAATGTGAAAAGAATACCTTCATGTAAATATATCACGATTATTTTTAATTTATAATTCCATTCTTTGTACATTTTTTTTATCAGTTCATGGTGATTTGATGTTAATAAATTAGTACTTATATTTCATTATTGATTCCAGTCACACTAACATTCATATTTAAATTGTAAAAATAAACGATTTTACTACCTTTTATAGATTATATTCAGTCAATATTTAAATTAACACATATTCCACATCTATTTTTGGATTGGACAGACTAACCCTAAATGATCACCATTATCATCTTCGAAGTCGAAAGTTCGGTAAGCGCTCGCACCTACATTAGCCTACAATTAAGATGTCAAATCTTAATTGTATCAGCTGTTTCGGAAGTCACATTGCATAAAGAGGTTATTAAACGCCTAGTTGGCGAGAGCTTAATTATCTAATTATGCCTTATATAGGACACCACCCGGCAAATCTAAATTATTTCTGTCCTATAGAAAACTCTTCTAGTCTAGTGGTACAGTTTACACTGTTGCCGGTTGGAAAAAATGTGTAATGCAATACCATCAACAGAAATTGTTCCGTTTCGTTTTGTTTCTATGGTTTCATTATTTATGTACAGAATACGGAAAATATCTCGTATACACTGCCGACAGTTTTATTAATATTGTGTTTTTATAAAAAAAAAATAACAATTAAAATATGTTTAGTAATCACAGCGGATATTCACATAGCCTTGAAAATTTGTTGTTTCATTGATAGGGTACCGAACTTTTCAAAAAGGAAACCCTTTTTTTTTATTTACCATTTTAAAAACCATGTTTGTCTCTGATACCATACAATTTTGGAAAAGTCAAAAAAAATTAGTTAATTCTTCAAGGTTTCAAGTTTACCATTTTTTCTTGACGTGCAATTAACTATTGATTCCAATCCGAATAATTAGGATTCCATAATTATAAATCATAAATGAGTCAAATTACTTAATAGGGGTAGGGATTTTAATTATGGCGAACACCACGAGAAGAAATGTACATTGTGTTCAGTGAAAAATAGCCCATTACACAGGTAACTGTATCCTAAAAATGTGATCTACCCAAACAAAAACTTATAGAGATAAAGTTTTTAAAAGCTTCAATGAGTAACATTGCTTCACACTTTGTTGTTTCCCACATGTGTCAGAAACTTAAAAAAAGAGAAATTTCATCTCTACTAGGTACGATTATTGCAGGAATTAAGTGAAGATTACTTTGATTGAACAATGCAGTTTGTGTTTATAAAGTGCTGATAGAATGATGTATCATTGATCTAAATTTTTTACGCAGAATTGTTTTTTTCCGTCTCAGAATCTGAGATAGATATTGGGTAACAGAAATCACCACTGGATGGAGAAACTACATAATCAAAATCTTTCGTCACATCGAAAATCTAAATGGGGCACTGCTGGTTAAAGCGCTTTATGTGATAAACGTTACTAATCATTGTCTAGTGTGTTCTTAAGTACGATCCCCAGCTTTAACAGATGCCAATGTCGGAAGGAATAGTTATGTATCCATATATTTTTCAAAATATAACCTTCCGCACAGCGTCTGCTTTAGGAATCAAGGATTGTCTAATTTATTTCTATAATGCTGCATGACGTCATTTTTTGTACATTCCCTCGTCATTGCCGATAACTTCGTGTAGCGGAAGAGTTCTTGCGACAACGACCAAAGGATCACTGCGCATAGTTTTTCTAAAGCCATCATGGTTTTTCTTTGTTGTAGCATGACGTCACTTCTTGTGTACCTTCCAGTCATTGCCGATAACTTCTTGTAGTAGCCTCTGGGTGCTACTGAAGATCGTCTAGTCATTGACTGCCGTCGAAAACATCGGCTGCAAGAACTCTTCACTGATAATGGTGGACCTCACACTTTGTGGTCTCTCCCGATGGATACAAGCATCCACTTTCGGTTTTAGAACTGGCTTTACATACCTACTTGTGTTTTTTTTTTAATGTAATAACAATAACCATCATCAGTAGGTACTGATGATAGTGTAGTGTCAAGAAAACTTTGTTCCACCACGCCTTGGTATTGCTGAATTCTGTCTAGATTGTGTGTTTTCAGACAGATGGAGGGGCTGTATTGATAACATGCCAGGTCTCCGGACTTGAATCTATTGGATTTTTCTTGTGGTAGGTCATTTTAAGAACACAGTGTAGATAATTGTGATAATTTATAATATTTGATATCGAAATTGAGAGCAGATGTTAAACGATCGGCTATTATATAACTTTGAATGGAGTCATTTGGGATATATTTTAAGCTTATCAATCATTATTTTGGTAAACCGTTTAAATTATTATCTTTTTTTCTATAACAAATTCTCATTAAATCTTGATCCTGAAGATTCCGTATTATTTTAGCACAAAAATATACTGTCAACGCTGATGATGAGAATATGCATTACAATGAACGCCATTTAGATCCTGACTTCTAATAGTCATAGTTGATTCTCTCTCAATATGCAAGTACAGCCGTCGAAACATTAAAATATAGCCTCGCACTTGGGTTTTATGTTATTTTTTTAATGAGTAAATAGTAGTTTAAGAAAATAAAAATAAACTAGAAAGAAATTTTTTTTAAATTAATACCGCAATTGATGTTAAAAATGCACAACAAAATACAAGCAAATATTATTTGTAGGGGTTGTTTACGACACTTAATTTGCCTATCTCCAGCGTTGTACTTTTTATTGAAACATGAATAGATAAATAGAAGATAAAAGCCATCTAATAAACATAATTCTAACAAAATGTACTTTTCACGGCTATGTGTGTTTGCAGGGCAAACAATGTATCTGGAAGTTATCCAGAGTTATAGGAATAGAAACGTAAAAGCAGTAAAAGTAGATATGATTTTTAACCTGGCGCCTAAATTGACTCTATTTCAGGTTATAACATATAAAATATGAAGTACCCAAATAATTTAGGTGGCCATATATTGGAAAAAAAAAAGCGCCATTGATCAACCCAACCCTGCTTTTAATGACCTAAATTTTTACGTTAATTTATAAAATTAACGTAAAAATGTGGTCGATTAACACTGTGCACAGAAAGGATGTTGGAAAAATCACACTTGAATAGGTCCCTGCAAAAAAAATGTTTTCGTTCTATGCTTCTGCGTGTTTTTAGATTAAACAGCACAAGTAATACAATCCCCTGTATCCCTGTAGGTACCTCAAGGTATTTTGTGCGGGAGAGGGTTACACATTTAGAGACAATGGACACACACCCAATGTCCGAGTATGCGAGGATTAATTTCTGGTTTAGAAAAATTCTAGCTCCTCGGCCAGGGATCGAACCCGGGAATCCAGGGTAAGAGGCAAATGTCCTTTCCATTGGACCACGAAGCCACATCTCCAGATGTCAAGAAGAAAAGTTATGTCTCACATTCTTGTTTTTTCTAATTTTCAAATACATACAATTAATTCTCATTCTGTAGTTAATTGCGTTCAAGTGTGTTTGAAACGTATTCTGTGGAAGTTTTTCAACAAATATGGAAGCAAAGTGTCATTTATCACAACCTAATGCCAATAGAGCCATTGGTATGCTCCAAGCTAGCTTGTGTCAAGTCGATATTGCTACAGAATTAGAAGTAAGCCAAAGCGCCATTAATAGGCTTTGGAATCGGTTTTTGGAACTTGTACAAGAATGGCCCAGAAGTGGTCGGTCCCAGTCTACAACACCGCGATAGATCGTTATCTTCGACTTACAATGTAGTTGTCCTTCATGTCGAGCCTCTTGTTTAAGTCCAGCTGACCATACAGCTCGTTTAAGGTGGACAAGGCATCATCAAAAGTGGGACATGGAATGGGGTTTAGTTTTATTCAGCGATGAGTCTCGTTTCGGCTTGCACAGCGTAGCAGACATCTACGAGTTTCGGGGACGTCAGGGAAGTCTAAGATTTATCCAAACTACAGTAACTTTTAGAGGAGGCAATGTTGTGGTGTAAGGAAGAATATGTGTTGGATGACAAAAATACGATTCCACAGTGACGGTCAACATACGCCATACTTTTACATTTTCTTAAAAAAATTTTAAAACAATATGTGAGAAAATTCCCCCGTAATACTTTTAGACAGTCATCAGTTTGGAATCAATTCTTGAACTTTTATATGGAAAAAAGCAGATATGATCGTCTTCCTACAATTCCAGTTATTTTTTATTTTAGAGATTTTGGCCTTCTACATAAAACGAAAGAATGGAGAGTATTATAAGAAGAGCTGTGTAAAATTCATATGGAATACAACCGCAAAAAATGTTGCAAGACAAATATTTTAAAGATTACATTTAATTGACCCATTTTCTGACATGCGATTCAAACGAGTTCCAGATTCGCGTAATGCTAAAAGATAAATGTTACAAGAACAACCAAACCAAAGAATGGAATGGTCGAAAGCTTTGAGTTCGCAAGAAATTGATGCCATGTCGTCAATTTGGGACAGCGGACAAAAGCCTGAGTAGTTGTTTCCTGCAAGTCTTATTCAGTATATAGTTTTGCCCAACCGGGTTAGAGGTCGAAGCTCTTGGTACCTGCTTTGCAGGTCGTTATTAGTTACTAAGACATCAGTGATGTCTGACTGGTAGTAGCACTGACCACCAGAGAGATCCACTTATCACTCACTATGTCTGTTTTGCTTAGTCTGCTTTAGGCTAGCCTAGTTTGCTATTATTATTTGTCTTTTCCATTACTTATGGCATACTGACGAGAACATAAAAAGTTCGAAACCGTTCTATGTCTAGTGAGAAATTGACAAATGATCTTAGCTACCAAACGAGATTTGCAAGTTTAATTCAATGCAGATCGGGGCTTTTGGCCGCTGAGTAGTTGTTTCCTGCAAATTTTATTTAGTATATGTAATTCCAGCCATTTTATGTGCGTTCCATGGGCGTATTTGAGGTTATGACATTTGTTCGATTGTATTTTTACTATTTCTTGTAAGATTGGTATTTTCGGAATTTTCAGATTTCTAAAATGCCACACGCCATTCCAAATCTATCCGATATGAGACACTTCTAACACACTAACAAACACTTTTCAACGTGAGACTACAAACTGCCGGCTAAAACTCGCCCGGAGGTTTTGGCCGTTTGTAGGGAGGGACGCTCCTGATGCGTGCCATTCCAGCCCAGAACTTCGGAGTGCCCCGACTTTACGCGCGCTCCAAACTCCGTGTGTGGCTAGCTATTGTATTAGTTCTATTGACATGCTAGGACTATATTCGTGCTTAAAATATAAATATATAGCTGTTTCTTGCTGTTTAGCACACTTTTTTACATATTTGTATACCCTACTTATCAACCCCTCTGAATCCAGCGGGGGGTTTTGTGAACTATAAGTAGCTATTTTTCAATCAGCATTTAATGAAGGTTAACCTGAAACATAACTCATCCCTGGGCGTGTTTGGCTCAAAACCTATATTCATTCTATCAAATGCCGAATAATGGAGTAATATTCGGCGCTGATTATCAACGAATATTCGTTGTCGAATATTATCGAATTAATAAATTAGTATGGGAATGTAATGTATGGGGGAAAAGGATCACGACATATTTTTGCTCTGGAACTTTTATTGCGAGAAAAAATAAAATAATATTCTCTTGTACAGTAATCATTGTAAGTGAAAGGTAATATTTGGCACCGAATATTATTTGGCAACCGAATTATCGGTACTGCCAACTTGGTTAGCCAAACGCGGATCGAGTATAGTACCGAGTGTTTTAGTTTTTGTGGAATCTGCTTCAGTGTTAGATGTCCAAGCGTTTCATCCGCAGAAGTTGGTTTTTGATGTGCCATAATAATAAGATAAATTATCTGTGCAATTTTTTTTTTCCATGAAATTTTAACGGTACCTACAGAGATCGTGATGAGATTCTAATCCCTTTCATTAATCAGCTTAATGTTAATGAACAGGTTTGTGGTTATTTCCAACAAGATGAAGCTCAAGAACACAGGAGCCGCAACAGTCAACATGTGGCAAACCATTTTTCAAGGCCAGTCTTAATACTGTAAGAATTTCCTCCAAGATCATATGACATTTTTCCATGCGATTTCTTTTTGTGGCCTTTTTTAAAAAATTCAATATTTCAAGTTCCTATTCCAGATATTGACCGTCAAGTCAGAATTGCAGAGAAAATGGAAGGAATCAACAATAGTCCCATTCTTCTGCAAAATGTGTTCGATTCCGTTAAAAAGTGAACTCGGAAGTGTCTGGGCAAGGTGGTGGACACTTTTAGCACCTCTTGTAAAAATTTGGTTGTATTTTTATTAAAAATAAATGTTCTGTTTCAGTAAAATTTTATTAATTCGTGCTATAACATGTAAGAAAAATAGTAACCTAATGTGATGCGCCGTATGACAGTTTAATAGAAACCAATCTAAGTAAGATTCCATTTGTATGGGCAACTTATGTCAATTTTTTTATGAACGCCTCATAAAGTTTGAAAATCCCCATGTTTTTTCTCAGTTACATTTTGGGTTTCATTGCCTGGGCTAACTCATATTTGCTCTTTTAATTTTGATTAAAACTTTTGACAATTTATAAAATCTGTTCTGAATCTAAATAAAACGCGATAAAATGAGGGGAACGTATGTGTACCTACTTCAAAGAAAGTTGAACTAGACCTAAGACAACTAATGTATTTAAAAATACAAGGCAGAATGAGAATACAATAATTGTAAAATCTGTTCTAATAATAATTGGAGTTATATTTTATCGTGATAGATTGTTCTGAACGTCCTATAAGCACACTTGGCAACGTTGTCTACTACCAATGATTATTATCTCGTATTTTGCGTTCACCTGTACCGCAGCAGCAGATTTACTGTTACCATGACTACGACAGTGTAATTTTGTTCCGTTTTTATATTTCTAATTTTATTCAAGAATATGTATGTATGTACTAAGGAACAGTGAGTTTTATCAGCAAAATTATTCACTGTGTTTGTTTTGCCGTCAGAGGTTCCACATTATTTAATTTTTCGGTATTACGAGACGACAAAATTTGATATATTATTGATCTAATTTTGAAGATAAATAGATAAGCATAGCCACTGGTTTAGATTCCCGTGGAATCGATATGTAGAGTACACGACATAAATTTAGAGTCTGACTACTCATTAAAGAAAAAAGTTGCTGTGAACACGGGTTCGGAAATGTATTCAATATTCTGAGCTTTAAAATAATTGAAAAACATTTTTTTAGAATATACATAAGAATGGAGATAGAAAAAGGAAATTTAGTATAGATTCCCAGTAAATCTCTACATATCATTTGATGGTTTGAATTTAAAATTTCAAATATAATTTTTTCCAAAAATTTGTATGTTAGGAATAAAGTATAAATGGGGATACTTGGGCGTGGGAAAATTTTGAGGAGCGTGAGAACTTTTGTCGGCATACTACAAAAGTGGCAGGTGTCATCATCATTATCTTTTCATTTAAGGTGGGGGTGTTATCTTCGTTTTCTGATTATGGCTAGAGTAGTCTGTTCAGCCGAGGTCTCCGGAACAGATCCGCTAGGGTTCCGCTCTCATACATGTTCCTCTGAGAACAGGGACTTGACCTTCTTAGGCTTCTTCCCGGTAAGTCGCCGCTTTAGTGGTAGTGGCCTTCCAAAATATTGATGTGGAATGTCAAATGAATCGTCTCGCCATTTTTATTCTTCTAGAAGCGAAAAATGACACTTCAAATTTGATATTTGATTTTAAAGTATAAGAGACGTTTACTGTCTAAATTATTGATTGGTTTTTTCAAAAATTGTGGTCATTTTGAGAATTTTTATTTGAAATAATTAATCTTGAAATCAAATAGTTTAAAGCTTTTTTCATTTAAAATCTAATATTCAGTCATTTAACATCCCAAAAATATCCTTCATCGATGTTTTTTAAATGTTTGTTTCAAGCCAATCAAGAACTATAGCTTACTTGACAACAGTTGGGTCAGCAGAATGCACCAGTTAATAGTTTTCATGATGATAGAGTAGTATGATATGTTCGTGTTTAAAAACTTTGCAAATTAGCATAGGTTGATGAGTTTTTAAAAAATTTGTAATAAAAGTTTTCTAAATTAAAATTTTAAGCCTGTTAAAAATTAGGCGGTGTCTTTTTTTTTTTAGCACAGGCAGGGTCCAGAGTTCAATCAGCCAGAACCTAATTATTGACTGTAGGGTCCCAATTTCACTATTATTAGTATATTGTATCATTCGTTGTTCCATGTTTTATGTTTATTTTGAAAATGAAATATTTCAATTATGTGAGGAGTTAACAAGACGTTTTAAATAAGAAATTTGTTTATGTTTTTTTTGAGATATACAGTTTGTCATTCCAGAAATTACACTCTGTATATAACATT